TGCAGGAGAAGGGGGAGCCCGGGGGGAACGGGGGGGATCGGGGGTCTGCAGGGGAAGGGGGAGCCCGGGGGTCCCCAAGGAAAGCAGGTCCTCAAGGTGGGACAATCTCTGTAGCGAGGAGACCCCCAGGGATGGGGACCTGCCGTGGATAACACCCCCAGGAGAAGGGGGGTTTCCAAAGGGATGAGCTAGCCCAAGGGCAGGGAGAGGGAAAGGGGTCTCAGAGAAAGGAGGGTTCTCATGGGAGGGGGCTCAGCAAAGGAAGGGCCCCAGTGCAGAACGGAATGGGGGTCCCTGGGCACCCCAAAAACGAGTCCTCACCCCAGCACTCCAGGCAGGAGGAAATGGCCTCAGATGGTGCCAGGGGAGGTTCAGGCTGGATATTGGGGAAAATTCTTCATGGAAAGGAAGGTCGGGCACTGGGGGGGTCCCTGGAGGGATTTAAAGCCATGTGGATGTGGCACTTGGGGACAGGGGTCAGTGGTGGCCTGGGCAGCGCTGGGTCACTGTTGGACTCGGTGGTCGTGGAGGGCTTTTCCAACCTCAGCAGTTCCTGGAGTGTGTGGAAGGAAAGCTCGTGCTGAAGCGAGGCTGCTCCTGTTCTCTCTCTGGCAGGGGGATTACGGCTGCACCTTCACCTACTCGGCCCAGGGCGGCACCAACGAGGTGAGCAGGGCAGGCCCCGGGCACATCCCCTTGGAACCGGCTCCTTTTTCCCATCCTGAAAGGAGAAGGGGCTCTGAGCCGTTCTGTGTGGGAGCACAGCCCTACCTGTGGCGAGCAGGGAGCAGAGGGGGCCAGCAGCGAGTGCTGGGGTGGTGCTGGGTTATTTTGGAGCTGCTGCTGCAGCTGGAGGGGAGGGATTGCCCTGCAGGGTTTTCCCCACGCTGACTCCGGATCTTCCCTGTGCAGCAATGGCAGATGAACGTCGGAGTGAGCGAGGACAGCGGGCTCTTCTCCTGCTCCGTCTGGAGGTGTGTCCTGAGCAGGGGACAGCGACAGGGACCCTTCTGTGCATCTCTGCAGGGAGGGTTTTCCTCTGCTGGGGCTGCTGTGGCTCTGGGGGCTTTTTGTGCAGCTGTTGCTTTATAAATTCTATGATCTCTGCACAAAAGCTGCAGGAGATCCAGAGGTGGCTGTGGGGGGAGGGAGGGAGCCAGGAATCCTTCACTCCTCTGCACCTCCACCCTCTGTGCCACTGACAAAGGCTCTGCTTTCTTCTTTCAGGCCCCAAGGGAAGTCTTATCTCTTCTTTACCCAGTTTAAAGCTGAAGTGAAAGGAGCCAAGATAGAGTATGCCATGGCTTATGTAAGTCCCAGCTGATCCCGGGGAAGCAGGAGTGTGGGAGGCTGCTATAAAACATGAATTAGACGTGGAAAACATTTATTAGACATCTGTGCCATAAAATGTGCTCCATCATGTCCCTAATTAGAGACTGGTGGCAGGCAGGAGAGGGGCTGCAGGTGGGCAGGCTGCTCCATTGTGCTCCTGCCCTCTCGGTCACAGGGATTTGCTGGGAGGGGGCTCCAAAGGCACCAGGGCACAAAGGGAGGCTTGGACTGCCTCAACTAATTGCATGTGACAAAGCAAATCAAACCTCTGCTGCTGTTTGTGTCTGGCTCATTCTTCCATTTCCCAGTTCCCAGGGGTGAGGCTTTCACTCACCCCGAGGACACGAGCCCGGGGTTGAATAGGAAACGGTGAAACAGCCAGAGATCCCTTCCGATTTCCTCTGTGCACTTGATTCTCCCACTGCACAGAAATCACAGACCCTCTTGTTGTGTGTGTGCTGGTTTGGGTTGGTTTGAATGCTGTGAGTTGTTGGACTGACTCTTACAGCTCCTTCCTTCCTGTTTCAGTCTCAGGCTGCTGTGGGTGCCCAGAGCGACATCCCCTTAAAACAGGAAGAGTTTGAGATCACTGACACAACAGGTCTGTGCCTGAGGGAGCAGTGAGAGAGGGGCTGGGCTGGGGGACGGGCCAGGGACCAGTTTAAACTCAAATATCCCCCAGTGCCATGGAGCTGGGGGCGCAGTGCTCTCCATCCACCTCTGGCAGCTGGATCTCGTGGGTCCCATCCCAGTTAAATTCCGAGGGTAAGGGGGGCTTTCTCCCCAGCCTGGCCTGTGCAGGAGTGGGAAGAGCAGTGCCCAAACCCTGGAAAGGGCCCAGTGGGGCTGTTCTGTTCCTGCTTTTCCATCTGCTTCTCTCTCTCTCTCCCCAGTGTCTCACAGGGAAGGAAAGTTCCGTTTCGAGCTGTCCAAACTCGTGATCGTAGCAAAAACCCCCCGTGACGAGCTGTGACCCCCAGGCCAGCCCTGGGCAGGGGGCTCTGCCTGCCCAGCGTGGCAGTGAAGGAATTTCCTGCTGACCTGCAGGCTTTTGCTTTTGGTTGGCCAAACCTTTTCTGTTTTCCGTACTGAAACGTTCTGGGGAGCGACACGAGGGGGGTTTGGAGGTGAGGACGGATTTGTTCCGCCCTGTGTCAGCGACTCCGTGCTCTGCAGCTGAGAGCTCCCACTCCTCCCGTGCCCCTTCCTGCCTGGCTGAGCTGCTGAGCAGAGCTCCCTGGAAAGGGGCTCCTTATCTGCCTGCCTGGGAACAGCCTGCAGGGAGATAAGTGCCTGGATTTCAGCGATTTTTCCCTTACTAAAGGGAAGTTGTTAACTCTGTAGTCTCTGGAGGGGAGAGGGGATTTGTCCCTCCACCAGCTTGACAGGAGGAAATAATTAATTGAGGGGGAGGGAGGGATTTGGCCAAAGCTCTGATTCCGTGGCTGGGGTGGATCCAGAGCTGGGCTTGGGTGGGGGAAGGCAGAGCAGTTTATTCTGACACAATCAGGAATCAATCCAGGCAACACTTCCACGTCTCAGTACAACCACGGGACTGTTTTATACCTACAGAAAAGTGATTTTTTTCTTATCCAGAGTAATAACAGGGAATGTGCAATTCCTTTCCTGAGTAAATACAGCACAAATAAAGAAATAAAGCATCATGCTCTGGCCTGAAGTGCTCTGCTCTGTCCCTCCCCTCTGCAGCTGGCTGGACTTTGTTGCTGCTTGGCCGGGAGGAGCTGAGGTGTCCCCGGGAATCTGGGGGCTGCAGAAGGTTGGGGGGGGACACACAAGAATTCTGGCTGGGCATCCCTCAGCCCCATCCCAGCACACCTGCCAGGATTGCCAGCTCTGGTTTGTGTCCAGGACACTCCTGACAGCAGCCCAGGGGGGACAGGAGAGGCCAGCCCTGCCCTCCTGAGGGACCAGCAGCAGCTCCTGGTGTTCTCCACACCCCCCTGTGAAGGGGCTGTGCCCCCAGCCCAGGCTGTGTCACACAATTACCTGTGACAGCTGCAGCCAGGCCTGGGAAATGACAGACACGGGGCCTTTGTGTCTTTCATTTGATCTGAGGCTGAGTTATCTCAGGAGGGTCAGTGGTGAAAGGGAGCAGGAGCGGAGTGCCCGTGCCTGGAGACATCCAGCAGGGAGCAGGAGGCACAAGAAGGCCTGGAGATAAGGCCAGTGGAGATTGTGTGGTGTCTTGGATGCTAAAAGGACAGTTCTCAGTGCTCAGGGCCGGGCTCAGCATGCTGGCAGTGGCCAGAACATCCCTGCTCCAGGCTGTGTCCCACTGCCACCACCTGCTCCTGCTGCCAGGGCTCTGCCTTGGGCCCTCCTGAGCAGGGAGGATGCAGAGGAGCATGTGCTGGGAGCAGGATCTCACAAAACCATGGAATGGTTGGGGTTTGGAGAGGCCTTAAACTCATCCAGTCCCACCCTTGCCATGGACACCTTGCACTGTCCCAGGCTGCTCTGAGCCCTGTCCAGCCTGGCCTTGGGCACTGCCAGGGATCCAGGGGCAGCCCCAGCTGCTCTGGGCACCTGTGCCAGGGCCTGCCCACCCTGCCAGGGAGCAATTCCTTCCCCGTGTCCCACCTAACCCTGCCCTCTGGCAGTGGGGAGCCATTGCCCCGTGTCCACAGATCCAGGAGCTGCTGGGCCATTGAGCAGGGACAGCACAAAGCCCAGGTCACAGAGAGCCACCACGCCCTGGGGGCAAAGCCAGCCGTCCCCAGGGCTCATTTTGTCACTGTCCCCACTGCTGGAACCTCACGGAGCTCCCAGGCCACACAGGTGAGTTTATTGAAATAACTCATCAGGGCTACAGAGTTTGCTAAAAACCAACATCACTCAGTCAAGGGCATGGAAAAGGGATGGAATCCCAGGGGAGCTTTGGGTGCCCAGCAAGGGCAGCGCGGGAGCTGCCAGGTGGCACCGGGGGTGGGAGTTGGGTGCTCCAGGGGAGGAGCAGCTCCCCCAGCTCTCCCCCAGGCAAGGAAGGATCCTCCTGCTCTCAGGGACTTGTCTTTGAGGACACCAAAGCCCGTGCAGAAGCATCTTCCTGCCTGAGGCAGCGCAAGTCCGGAGCAGGATTTGCTCCCATCACGTTGTGGAGCTGCTGGAAGAAAAGCACGGAGTTCCACAGCCCTCCAGTCATGGAGACTCAAACTGTTCACCTCAACAACGTCCCACCTGCTCAGAGACACCTCACAGGTGCCTCACACCGCGAGTCTTTGGTTCAGTTTCCCCCTAGAGGGTTACAACAACAGAGTTCAAGGCAAAGAGTCCAAATCCTTGGACTCTGAGCTAAAAAAGGCACTTGGTGGGCAAAGGAAATCAAAGTGTCCAGCAGGATCCTGCACCCCAGGATGCCCTGGAGAGGGCTGGGCCCAGCGCAGGGAGGGGTTTGCAGACCCTGGGCAAGGGGGAGACAAAGTCAGGAGGTTCAGTGTCTTGGAGAAGCGAGGAGAACACGAGTGAGCGCTGCAGAGATGAGGGGATGGCGAGCCCGGTGAAGGTCAAAGCAGACGTCGCATCTTCGGCTTCACGGGGGGCAGAGTCCAGCTGCCAAGAGCCCACCTGGGCCACCCTCAGATGTTGTCCTCCTCCAGCATCTTGTTGACCCCTTCGCAGATCCTCTTGAGGTGGGTGCGGTAGGGCTCGGCCGGGCCGTACAGCGCCGACAGGAACTCGTAGTCCGCAAAGTGGTTGAAGACGTGGTTGATGCGCGAGTGGGACTTGGCCGTCAGGTGCCCGTTGACCGCCTGGTGCAGCAGGTCCCGGCACTCGGTGAGGACGCTGGACATGACCCTGCGGTCGAAGGTGAAGTCTATCTGGTGGAAGCTGACGGCCGTCATGGCCAAGGTGTGAACCTTCTTGCGGAAGCGCTCCATGACCAGCAGCTCCTCGGGGCTGAACTGCCCGTTGCGGTAGAGAACCCCCAGCTTCATCACGATCTTGATGAGGTTTTTGATGATCTTCTGGGCCTCCTTGCGGTTGCGGGTGTACTCCTTGGTGGCCCGGTACAGCTCGTCCAGGATCTCGCTGCTGGTGTCGTCGATGAAGGCGTTGGCGATGGTCTTGGTGGCCATTTTGCTCAGGAGCTTCTTCTGGGCCTGCAGGGCCAAGTTCTTGGTGCTGAAGGTGTCCATCTCTGCGGGGGAAGAGGCACACATGGCTCAGTCCCTGCTCTGCTCCATCCCCATCTCCCCTGAGTGTCCCTGTCCATGGCAGGGCCTGGAGCCCCATGAGCTTTAAGGGCCCTTCCCACCCAAACCATTCCATGATTCCGTCATTCCTCACCTCCCCGTGCAGGTTTTTGGCAGGAGAAAGAGCATCTCCAGGCAATGGCGAGACTGAGGGAGCTCCTGGGTGCCAGGGCAGGTGAGAGCTGAGCTCAGCCCCAGCTTTGGTTGGTGGCACCAGTTTCAGGCTGTTGCCACCTTCCTTGTCCCACACCGCGCAGAGGCTGCAGCGAGCGGGGTGTCCCTACCTGAGCCGCGAGCCTCCATCGCGGTGTCCCTCCTGCCACCAACGCCTCCCTCCTCCCCGCGCAGGAAGGACTCTTGCCCCACGGTTTTAACATTTTTCCTTCCTTAAAACCTGACTCATTTCCTGCAGGGTGAGCTGGGGACAGCCCAGGTGGCAGCTGAGTCACCCCCGATGCCATGTGCGGCACCCACCCGGTGCTGGCCGCGGCTGGAGCGGCACAGCCGGTTTGCAGCACCCAGCAATGGCGTGGGAGCCCTTTTCCCTGGCACTGGAACACCCACACAAGCTCAGACCTGCTCTGCTGCTGCCCTGGCCTCCTCTGGAGGTGAATAATTCACCCTGACAGGAGCCTCAGCTCCAGCCCAACTCCCACATCCCGGCGGGACCAAATCCATCACCTGGGGCAGAGCACGGCTTTAAACTCTGCTGGGAACGATTAAAACGCCGCCGACCCTGGAGATGCATCTTGGCCTGGGAAACCGCAGAGCTACAAATCACAGGGAGGGGAGAACAGCGGGAAAACAAGCGGGATGGATGGGCAGAGCTGGGAGCTGCTTATGCAAGAGCCTGCACATGGCATGGACAGCCTGGCAGAGCAGGATGGGATCAGCCTATAAATCCATCCCCAGGGAGGGGAGAGGAGATATTTCAGGTGAAGGAAAGGAGATATTTCAGGTGAAGGAAAGGAGATATTTCAGGTGAAGGATGCTGCTGGTGTGAGGATGGGTTGGGATAAATTGCTCATGGAGAGGGAGCAGGTTTAGATTTGATGTTAGGAAGGAATTCTTCCCTGAGAGGATCCCTGGCACAGGTGCCCAGAGCAGCTGGGGCTGCCCCTGGATCCCTGGCAGTGCTCAGGGCCAGGCTGGACAGAGCTGGGAGCTCCTGGGACAGTGGGAGGTGTCCCTGCCATGGCAGGGGTGGGATGAGATGAATTTTTGGTCTTTCTCCAACCCAAGCCATTCCCTGCCTCTGGGATTTGTCACAGAACCGGGTCTGTCCCCATCACAGGCAGCTCTGTCATCCCCCCCGGCCAAGCTGAACGTCCCAGACCCCTCTGGGGATCCCCAGTCCTGCTCCCACCACTCTGCAGGACACCCCAGGCTCGGGAGCAAATCCTGGCTCCTCAGGGATCCCCTGCTGTGGCCGAGCTCCCCCGGCCAGGGCGATGGTGCTGAGCCCCGGCTCCCCGAGCATCTCCCAGCCGTCAGCTCCCAAACCCGAGGGCAGCCAAGGCTCCGTGGGGACAGAATTGTGGGGGCAGTAACGGAGCTGCCGCCTGCAGGGTTATTTACAGCCCTCAGGAAAAACACGGAGGTTTGGAAGCATTTCCTACCATGGGAAAACATTGATTTTTGTCAGCCTCAGCCTCAAGCTGAGGCTCTTGCACTTAATAAGACAAAAATGACAGCGCAGAGCCTGGTGACAGCTGCTCCCAGGTCAGGCTGGTGGATTCCCAATGGCTGCATCCGTGAGCCGAGCCCGGAGGGAGGGATGGGCAGGATGGGCAGAGGCAGCTCCATCCCCTCTGCCCTGGCTGAGGGCACCCCCTTCACCCACACCAGGCGTCCTGGCCGGAAGGAGCCGGGCTTTGCTGCGGTGTTGACAGCCTGGAATTTTCCTCCCCAGGACTGTGGGGTGCCCTGGGAACGGTGCCTGGACAAATTGGAATTCCCACACCCGAGCTCTCCCTTGTGTGACCACAGACATAAAGCGAGTGCAAACTCCACCTCCAGAGCACATGAAAAATAGGAAGTGCCAAGTCCTGCTCCCAAATGCCAGCTGGGATAATGGATCAACCCTCTGCTCCCTGCACCAAATAACACCCGGCTGCTCACAGCCCTCCCCTGCTCCGGCACCAGGAGCATCGCTCCAGGGGGGAAACTGAGGCACAAAACATTATGGGGGGGGGGGGTCAAGGGACCCCAAAAGTGGTACAGGAGGGTGTGGGGATCCCAAAAATGCAACCAGCTCCCTCTCCAGTGCCCGGGGTCGGTCTCATGGGCTGCTCCCTGCAAAGGCCAAGGAAAGCCAGGCTCACCTCCTGCTGGCTCCCGCTGTGCCAGGACGGTTCCCCCGGCACCTCCTCACCACACTCGGCCTGCCAGGACCTGCTGAGTCAGCAGCAGCAGCAGATTTCACCGGAACGAGCCGTTTTCCTGCTGGGAAGGGCCCCACGACCCCATTGTTCACGAGGGGCTGCTATCAGTGCGAGAGTCGAGCTTTGCCCCGAGCAGCCAACTGCAGCCTGAAATAACCCACTTCGCTTCCTTCCTGTCGCTCAAGTTTCCAGCCCGGCTCAGGGCTAGACTGCCCCCCACCCCCTTCTTCTTTTTCATGAAAACGCCCTAAAAAACAGCTTCTTCTTCTTCCGAACTGGAGCAGCCGAGTGCTGCTGTCACCGAGTTCCTCCCTGCTCCGGAAGAGTGCGGCAGGGCTGTGGTCCCAACCGTGGCTTTGGGGACAGCTACAGCCCTTTCTTGGAGGATTTCCACCCATTTTGGAGGTTTCTGGGGAGTCTTGCAGCCCTGAGCAGTGGTGTGAGGGCTGGGGTGTCCTGGGCCACAGGAGGGTCCCCTGGGGACACCGGTGTGCCGTGCCCATCTCTGGTTTGGCTCTCCCCTCGCTGGCCTTGCACCTCAGCCAACACCCAGCTGTGACCTGATTTCCCCAAAAAACCTCTCCCACCTTTTCACAAGCATCAGTGAAAGCTCCTGTCTGAGGGGGGAAGACAGGATCCTGTCACCCTGTGGTCACCTGGCACCGGTGGCACCAGGGCAGAGCTGCCAAGGGAGCACCATCCAGAGCTCCTTTATGAAGAGGGGCCAAACCCAGCAGTGACACCATCCCAACTCTCGTTTTTACCTGTCCCAAGGACCCCTCTCCCTGCCTGTCCCTTTCACCTGGTTCCCAGCAGCGGCTCTGTGGGCTCAGTCCCCCAAGCCCCCCCAGTTCCCTTGGCAGCAGGTGAATATTTCATGCAGGAAAGGAAAAGCACTTAAATAATTCATGGAGCAGCGCAGAGGGGGAGGCTACACAAAGCTCCAGCTCAGAGCAGAGGCACCTTTGCCTCCTCTTCCTCCTCCTCTCCCTCCTCCACCTTCCCACCGTGGCCACAGTAACTTGGATTGTCTCGCTACAAGTTTCCTCCGACATGGAAACATCGTTTCCCAACGGGATAAACAGAATAGCGGCGATTTCCCTGGATTTCCCTGCATCCCACACGCCTCTTTGGGAAACCTCCCCGCTCTGCACCTCCTCATTCCCGGTGTCCCCGGCCCCGTGGCTGAACGCCAGGCGGGTGGATGGGATCCCTCTGCTCCGTTCTCCGACCCCCATTAATTAATTAAACCCTCCTGGATTACCGGAGCCGGGTCGGAGCGCCGGGCAGTAACCGGAGAGCCCCGGCCGCGTTCGCAGCCCCCAGGGCCCGTTCCCAGCGGGGACAGCGGAGGAAGAGGAGCGGGAGGAAGGACGCGTGCCGGGGGTTGCCATGGGTGCAAAGAGCAGCCGGAGACGCCGGCCCGGGCGCGTGTGTGCCCAGCGGGGCGAGGCCGGGAGGAGCCGCAGGGTAAACACCTGGAAAAGCTCCTGTCCCGGCGAGGAGAGGCCGCGGCCGGAGCGGGGACTCTGCGGGAGCGGCCCCGCCGCCGCTCCCCCTCCTCCGGCACCGGGGGCTGAGCT